ACTTTATGTGGAAAACCCAAAAGACTCCACCCCAAAACTGCTAGAACTCATACAGGAATTCAGTAAAGTGGCAGGATATAAAATCAATGCACAGAAATCGAGTCATTTAATTTCAATAGAGTAGTCCGATGTTCACGGAGTCTGAGTCGGTAAATAATTAAGTAAATACAGAATTTCTTTTTCAGATGAAATATTCCTTCATTCATTCAGCCAATTCCAAGTTCCTCTCTACCACGTCTCCCAAAGTGGACACTCTCAGATCCCATCAGTTATCAAACTCTACCACTCTCACCTTACAGCTGGCCACTTCTCTTTCAGCCCATATCTTGAACTAGAGATTCCCATGGTCTCCACCATGGTTCCCCTGCCCAATGCCTGGAGAACACCTTTCCACTCCTGTAAGGGAGCCCAGCATAACCCTGACCCACTGGTCCCAGGTGACTGAACCAACCCGGTCCAGTCAGATTCTCTCTCCCAGAGATTAGGATTTGGAACAGAGAGTCTGAATCATATTGCACCGCGTGCTAAGTCTGTGGGTCATGTCATGTTATTGAGAGAGAAATTAAAGCTTTGCTGAAAAAACTTGTTTACCCAAAAGAGGATGGAATAGGCATATAGAATGTAGCAGAAATGAGAGACCACTCAATCCAAAGCAGAGACTCGCTGCCAGTATTTTTCCTACTTCTGTGAAGGCCAAGGTGCAACTGAATTTCATCTGATACTCATGCACCTTCACCAAAATACTATTACTACTATTACTACCACCACCTCTTCTGCGACTAACCACCACCACCACCACCATCATTATTCTTTCTTCCAGACAGTTTCTGTGCATTTCCATGCCTGGCAACCAGTCTCTGCTAGCCCTGCTACCACAGGCTCTTGGTTTTCTCCCTTTGTTCAGAGTAAATATCTTCACCAAAAATCTCTAACCACTCCCGTCGAACATACCTTTCTACTTTGTTTTGCTGGTTTTTACAACCCCTTGTAATAATCATGGGACCTTCAAATCCCCACAGAGTCTCTCTGAATTGTTTGTCATCCGCATAGAAGTATACTTTTTAGATCAGGATATACGTAAACTAGGGTTATGTGGTGACCCGCTGAGAGGTACATCACACATTTTCTTTTTTTTTTTTTTTAAAGATTTTATTTATTTATTTGACAGAGAGAGAGTTAGCGAGAGCAGGAACACAAGCAGG